GCTCGATATATATTTTATTGGCTGTCGCTTCGCTCTTTCGCCGATGTATATAATACCGGCTTCTTTCATTATTCAATGATGGATTCATTTATTTAAAAAAAAACTCCTGTGAGCGACTTGAGGAAGATTAAAATGTTAAAAAAGAAAATTAAAATGTTACCACCTAAACAAATATAATTGAAAAAAAATGCACAATTTGTTCAATGAATCGATAATTTTAAATTTTAAATTCGTTTTTGATTGATCAATTATCTTATTAAAGAAATATACAGTTCGAGCTGTATAAGCATCTTTAATGATGAAATGATGTTTACAAGTGAGGGAGTCGTAAAACCTATCTGAAACTTCGCTCGTTGTAAATACTCTGCACAGCGAGTTCAGTAGAAATTCTACCGTAAGGTGTCACTTTCAAATCCACAAATGAAAACCAAATCACCAGAAGTTAAATTTCATCGATTTCAAAAAATCTTCAATGAGAGGTTGGAGTTTTGCAGCATTTTCACAAATATGACACAACTCTCTTTGTTTGTAATTAGACTTGATCGATGGGTTCTTATACTTTTTTCATCACAATGAGACGGCAGAGAAAATATCTTTATAGTAAATGAGAAAAAAGGAACAAGTAAAAGAAAAAACCAAACTGTAGAATAAAAGGAGAGAGAGAGAGAGAGATGGCGAGAGAAAAGTCGATCGGCTGTCTAGCTCCGTGAAGCGTCTTGAATTTCGTAGTAGCTTCGACAAAAGGTATTTTCGCTCGTTGTGCATGTATAGGATAAAATGCCGTTCGTTGCTATTCTCCATTGCTATCGTCGATCAATCGTGAATCGTCCTCGTCGTCGTCGTCGCCGTCGTCGTCGTCCTTTCGGATGAAACAACTTGAGTCCGTAATTTCCACTTGCCTGACTTCTTGATATACCTACTCGTCGTCGTTGTCGTGTTGTACTACGTCGACGCGCGCAAACGTCCTTTTTTTATTTATATACGTGTTTCTGTTGGCTATTCTCGCGTGCTGCGCTTAACGAAAAAAAAAACATTTTTTTCTTTTCTCGCCTAACCACCGCTACCGCTGCAATTGCGTTAAATTCAATTTACATGAAGAGATTAACAATTTCATGGCAACTTTTCAAAAGTCGAATTTTCGAGTAGTTGGTTTTCATCATATTTTCATTTGGTGTACACAGGAGCGCGTATAGAGTACATGCGTATACGTTAGTGTGTGTGTGTGTGTGTGTGTGCTAGTGTCGGTTATACGCGAATGTGACTTTTCACTTGCAACATTCTCTCATACATAATATAAGCTTTGGAGCTTGCTATGTGCATGCACGAGTCCGTAAACGTGCATGTGGGAGTGTGTGTGTGTGCGTACTAGTGCCACCGCTGCTGTGACTCGACGTTCGTCTCCGTGCTCTTTTTCATCCTGCACACACACCGTTTTATGGCAGTCGATTTAAGCCCACCATTACGCTTTGTCACGTGGTTTTTCACTTCTTTCCTATTATTTTTTCACAACGTCTCTCTTTTCTCTTTTCTGAACTTTTAACCTATTCTCCGTAGCAGTGGCGCAAGCACCTCTTTCGAGACCTCTTTCGAAATCTCTGACGGATGGAAAAATTTCGCATTTTTCGCCTCTTTCTCGCGCGTTTTTTCGGTGTATGCTTGTGCGTGTGTATGTGTGTTACCCCGCAGATATCTCTGTGCAGTATATGCTTCCTCTATTATTTTTTTCCCTCCTTTCCGTGTAACTCCAACCCCGAGCATTTCCTTTCGTCTCATTTGAACAAAAAAAGGGAACGAATATTCGAGCTATTTGCCACATCATAACTCTGATGGTTATTTCGCTCGCTTCCTATTTTCTCTTTCATTCTCTCTTATTTTCCTCTGCAAAAGGCACCACACGCTCTCTGTATGTGTGTTCTCTTTTCGAATCGGAAAACGTATATATAGAGAGTGGTAGATGCAGCTGCCTCTATGCATGCAGCAGCAACGACGGAGAACGAAGAATCGTTTCAAGTTTTCCCGAAAACACTTTTGAGCTATATATATTATATGCGCAGGAGCGCGCATTTCGATAAATGCCATCCTCGTCGTCGCCACCGCCGCCGCCTCCACCGCTGTTAGCTGTGTACAATGGCCTTCGCATATAGCTCGACTATATACTATGCACGAGAGTCGACCCTCTACAAGCGTTTCAGAATTTCAGAACTGTTCTCGCCTTAAACGATTCAATAGTTCGGGTTGCGCGTCTGCAAGCAGCTATATACATAATACACACACAGCTTTCTCTCTCTCTCGAACTTCGAGCCGATGTTCTTGAAGGCTGCGTTAGTTGATGGGAAAACTTAATTGTATGCGGACACAGAAGGAGCAGAGGCACAGAGTGGGACTAGTATGGAGAACATAGAAAACAAAACTACGGCCAATTGTCTCAACTGTCCAAGTGCTGACGCAGTCTCACACAGCACGAGCAGTTGCATGCGGGCGGGCAGGCTGCAGCACATTGTTGCATTGTGTGTGCATGCGACGACGACGACCATCACCGCGAGTTCGTGCGCAGGATAATAAAACACTAAAAGGGGAAAAAATATGAATCGCATGTATATGGGCTAAGCCATAGTTAGCATGATGATCAAAACAATTTTTCCCCCCCTTAAATTATGTACTTTTGAAGATTACATTGAAAAGTGAAAATCCTAAAAATTTCAGATGGATCTATGTGGGTGAAAATTTCAGGATTTTCATTTTTTAATGAACTCTTTGAAAGTATATACTTAGTTTTAGTTTCATTTTTGACCCCTCACGCTTGACATGTCTTTGCCCATATATAAAACGGCTATGCGATCAAATGGAAGAGAAAACCATGGAAAAGAGGGATATCTACGTGGAAAGAAGTAAAAAAATTTCTGGTATTGGCTTGCGGAGTAATTGGCTTTGGTGGAGTGTGTACAGGGCTCTACGATCACGCAGACTGCGGGAGAGGAAAAGGCGGGTGGGTGAATAAAAGGGGTTAACCGCCTCTATTCGTCCCTCATTTCTCTAGTTTTCTTGTTTTCTCTCGCCTCCGTTCTCGATTCTCTTCATTCCTGTGCAAGTATAGTAGCCAATCGTCCCACCTCCGGCCATCGGGGATGTACGTATAGATTCTCATGCACACTCACGCACAGACACACACAAGCCATCTGCTTTTCTCTTATACCCTCGCTTCCATACTCTTGGCCTAAGCTCAATCTCTCTTTCTCTCCTGCGTGCTCCGCACATTCCTGAGAGTCCTTACCCAAGCCTTTATAACCCCCTTTAGCAGCTGCCACACAGTCTCGCTCGCTCTCTCTCTGTGAGTAAACGGGTATGTGTGGGTGTGTGTCAGCGCGAGCAGGGGGAGAAAAGGATAGAATTGGTACAGCGGAATAACCCGTGCGCAAATTAAAGTGACCAGCGCCCGAATGCAATTTAATCGCTCCGACGGTTCGAATACGGCGCGCGCGACGACTCACAGGGGGAGGCGGGCTCGGAACAGAGAGACAAAGTGTGAGAGAAAGAGAGAGAGAGAAACAGAAAGCTGAGACGTTAATTATTGAAGGGAATACGGCGTACTTCTGCTGCTGCTGCTGCCAAGTCCGATATAGAAAGCTACTGCTGCTGCTACTACTACTACTGGCTGCTGACGACGACGGTGGCGGCTAAGGTACGGAGGGCTATATAGCCTCGCTTTGCGATTCTCCGCCGCGTGCCATAAGGTGCTGCTCGCTGACTTTTGAGAATCTACGAGACGAATAGACGTTAATCAAATTAAGTAATTAACGCTCGGATTTGTAAATGAAGCTCGAAAGCGAGATCGCGCCGCTACTGTCGCCGATGCCGTTGCCCCGAGTGCGTTTCTCCGGGTGCCTGGAGGGATTTAACCTTCCGTACGTAGCGCTATCACGAATAATATACATATAGATACGTTCAACCTCGACAGCTATTATATATAAAATATACAGAAACGCAGACAAGACGCTACTCACGTAGCTGTATTATACGACTACTCCTCTCCGGGCGCTCCCCCCCAAGAGAACGGGAAAAACAACCTATCGGTAATTGCTGCCTCGAATCGCGACGAGCGTCTTTCACTCATTCTCTCTCTATCTCTCGCTCTTTCCTTCTCTATATCCTTGCAGCGTGGATGATGGAATTATGCTTAAAAGCCTTCTGCCGTACTCCTACCGATCGCATCGCTTGTACTACTACTCCGCCTGATAGATACTACGCGACCATAGTATATACCCGGCGAAAGGTTGACTTAAATTTTTAAGTGGCATCCCAGCTACTTATTGACTCTGAGATATTGAAATTTCCTTCGGTTCGCGTATTTCTCATCCCGCCCTCCTCTCTCTTCTTTTTTTTTTGCCCTATTTCCATTAATACTCTGTAAGTTCTCATTAAGCTGATAGGTGACATCGACGAAACGATAATGGAAAATCAAATTAAAACTTATCGCGTATACGTTATACGTATATGTATAACTGCTACACGCGAGTAAAAGGATCGCGATGGTGCGATTTATGATCCTCTGTTCGAGCGCGCGTTAAAGTATTGCGTAAGGATCAGAGTGCGCGCCTGGACAGTTACATGCGTGCGCCATCGTCCGAGCTTCCTGACAGTTTTACCTGTGTAGTCGTAGATTATTATTAATGCTCCTGATCATATAATATTTACTCGTAAGAGCTGTGCCCCCCTCCCCCTTGCAAAACTCGAGAAGAAAGTGAAGAGTTCCTCTTCAAATGTATACACTCATTTTCGCTGACGCAATTTTCACGTTCTCGCAAGTACAAGATAATTAGTAATTTAATCAGTGTAAATGAAAAATACGAATCCGATTAACTCATTATGAATGAGCTTCTCGAGACTTTATATTAATCGTCTTCATCTCGTCATGCACCATCATCACAACTCTTAATGAAAAATTTTCTTCCTCAAGCAGCACATCACGAGCAATTCTGTTTATGAGTACTTTTATTTTTTAGTCCGTTCGTGCGTGCGAGACACAGTATAGATAGAGAATCGAGAAACGAGGGCCTCCTCAAGTAAGCAGCGTATAAAAAAAAACGAGTCGAGGTCCCGGGAGTGGAGTGCATAAATAAAGTGAGCAATTAAGAGGGAAAGACTATGCATAATCCAAATGATCCGAACCAGGAGCAGCAGCAGCGGCAGCTGGGGCCGCAGCCGCCGCCGCCACAGGAAGGTGAGCGGAACAACAGGGGTACAGGCCGCCCCCTGCCGGCCCTGCGCTCGATTCACAATCACCACAGCTCGTTCGTGCGGTTCGTAAATCGTAGCAGTTTTTCGGTCTCCATTTACTGGATTGATTATCAAGGAGAGCTCGTGCGCTACCGAACTCTTCCCAGTCGCGATCACATCGACATCAACACCTTCGTCACGCACCCCTGGATATTCGTCAACGAGCAAACCCAAGACAGGTCGGTACCAACTAGATCCATTTTTTTTTTCATTTTTTTTCTTCCGCGTGTAAAATCGCAACAATAATAAACCAACGAATCGTCCAAATCTCTCTCAGATTACTAGGCGCCGGCCAGCGGATATACTACCCGGAGGCCTGGTGGGTCAGGTACCAGGGCAGGGATCACTCGGAGCTGCCGAACCGAATCAATCGCACCGTCGTCCCCATCACCATGCCGTTGCTGTCGCTGCGCGGCTGGGCCCTGAGGACGATCAAGCTGCAGCTCGAGCGCGACGAGCACGCCTACTCGCTTGATCTGCCGAGGATACTGCAGGAGGAGCTGTACAATCAGGCGCCGCGTAAGCCCATCTTGGGGCCTCGAGACTCCATCAGACGGGCTCCGAGCAGACAGGTTAGCAGTAGCAGCGGGAGTAGCAACAGCGGAAACGGCAACGGCGGCGATCGCCAATGATCCACGAATGAACGGGGCAGGGTGGGGAATGCAATTGTTACGCGATATTATATGTATAGAACAATTTTTTAATGTTTTGATACAACGATGGATTTCTGACAAAGCCGTTGATTACAGATTTATATACGTAATTTATTATAACTTTCCGACCTTTTAGAAATCTTTACAATTGCTAGAAGGCGCGGAATTTAGCTCTACGTAAACCTTTGTGCTATACAATAAGTTTAACGTATTAACCCATTTGATTTTTCTATTTGCCAAAATGAAATCAACTATAACGAGCTAACTCGGAGATTTTGATAAAACCACGTTTATTTTTGTAAATAACTGAATTATTAACATGTTCGTTTGATGTGCTCGCAGTACGATGTAAGTTATTTTTTAAGGGCATTACTATACATATTGACGCAAACATGTTGTTGGATATTAATTTACCCATTTGTATGTATTAATTATTTGCCAGTAATAATTAAATTATTTAAAAAAATAAATATTTCCTTGGTCTTTTATTTTGTGTACCAGTCTCAAATGAAGCAAAAAAATTTGCAAGAACGATCCTCGTGGCTAGGGGGAGAAAAAAACTTTTACCCTGGTATGATAATTACATCAAGAATTAAGTCGCAATAACAAGCTAGTCGCTTGTACAAGTGGCGTTTAAGTAGCTGGCCATCCTCGTAGTTGAAAAAAGGGTGAAAAAGGTAAAAAAAAAGAGAGAGAGAGAGAGAGAGAGAGAGAGAAAGGAAACACAAAGAAAGTTTAGGGATCGGCACACAGGGCAACAAAGTGGATAACCTTCCGACAATCCTAGGGTCGGAGGAGGAGGAGAAACGAGAGAGCGAGAGGAAAGGGACAGCGAGGAAAAAAAATAAAAGAAACTCTTGCTGTATCCCCTTGACAACAAGTTTGCCACCCTCTCTCCACTGTAGCCGCAGCAGCAGTACTAGGACGGCGGCAGCTTCGAGTCTCTCTCTCTCACACACACACACACACAGTACTACACACAGTGGAAAAAAAGAAAGGCAACTCTCGGCTAAAGTGTACAAAACAAAAGTCGCTCGCGTGCTTTGACTGCCCAAAGCTTCCCTCTTTCTTTTAGCGGTGCCAACTTTGGCGGCGTGCAGCAACGGCAGCAGCAGCAGCAATGGCATGAGCGGCACTCTTGCTATATACATACTGCAACACAGTACACGCGGACGCGCGACGCGATCTCTCTCTCCCTTATCGAGTTTTCTAGACTCTCGAGATTGCTGCGTGTGTTCGTATACGTGTATGTGTTTGTGTATATAGAGGAATACCCGTACCGCAGGAAAATACGCGGCCTCGATTTCGCGACTTGGCGTATACGGGACTGTCGAAGTGTGCATGCGCGAGTCGACCACCCGCAGCAGCTTCGAAAGCTTTTCCGTGCACTTCGGCTTCTGCACATGTAGGGCGAATTTCACTTCTCTCTCTCTCTCTCTCTCTCTCTCTCTCTCTCTCTCTCTCTCTCTCTCTCTCTCTTTCTAGTTCGTGTTCTCGAGTGCTTTTTCTCTCTCTCTTTTTATTTTTCTTTCCTCGTTGCCGATCGTGCATCGTCGTGGCACACGCGGATCGACGTCGCGCGCACTACCTACGTATACACCGAGCATACTTATAAGTTGATTTTCCTAGTTTCCTGTTTACGTCTTGCGTCTTGCTGTGCCCGCGCGGAAGGAAGAAAAAGTCCTCTCGAGCTTCGTGATCCCCCCGCGACGCCGCGTCAAAGCCGATTTGGAGGGTGAATTTTCGGCCTCCGCGCGCATTGTTCACGCTGCAAGCTGCGCTCCCATTATAATAGGCAGCGTGTCGCGAAATCATTGGGAATGCATCGAGGGCGACTAGCGTATAGGCCTACGACTAGGCGTGTGACACACCCACGACAGCTACGCAGCACGGCCATATAACTATATACACGATTGTGTAGTAGTACCATCGCACACACACAATGGACGAGAGATTCGCGACGCGCGCAAAGTTCCACGAGAGGCGAGAGACGTATACTGCAGAACTAGCCGGTCGCTGCTGCGCTATCTTTGAATTATTATCTCTCGCGCGCCGCTTCGTGCGGGCCCAGGGTGCCATTTATCGCTGCTGCTGTTACTGGTCGTCGAAACATGCACTGTGCTGCCGAGCGCGCGCGGCTCGAAACACGCTAACCGAGTGAATCGCCGATATAATACGCAGCACGCGCGCGATATCGACGACATTTTCCATTCTGCATCCATCGCGCGAGAGACAGCGGCAGCAGCAACGGTGATGGTATACGTAGTGTAGTAGTGGTAGGGAACGCGCCACTGACTCGATCGTATTGTACGCGTCCTCGCGCTGCATATAATAGCTTATACACAGGATCGTCGTATAACGTACTTGTCAAATATTTCATTCTGAATTATGATACTTTTGTATGCTTTTTTTACGACCACAAAGCTATCTCGCACCGATTTATGAACAATCGTTGATTCTATCACCTAGCGTTATAATAACTTTTTCATCGAACCAAAGAGATGCTATCCCCTTTGTCTATATTGGATACTCGACGAAAGGTGGCTTCGCACACACATGCATGTGCACAAGCTTGCCCGAGAAGACCGTAATTTCACATTTGATCGTGAGCAGAAAATTTTCTACTGTATCGCGCGTTGTGAAAGTATGAAGAAAGAAAAATTTAGCTATCCTCGGTCGCGATCCGGCGTATTAAAGAAACCCGATTGCGCAGGTCGGCGCGCGCGCGTGCAAAGCTCATCAAGGACTAATTACCAAAAAAGTCTCTGCGCTCGCGTCGTCGACGACGAGCAAAAAGTTGCGAGCAAGTGAGAGAGAGAGAGAGAGAGAGAGAGAGAGACGCTCTTAATATATACCTCGTGGAGCTTCTTCTTCTCCTACTACCATCGTCGCTTCAGTGCGCGAGAACTAATCTCGACATCTACTTTTCTCTCTCTCTCTCTCAGTCATTTCTAGCTTGGTGCAGTTGCGGCGGCGAGCTCACATATAGAGAGAGAGAAGCAAGGCTATATAGCTGCTATGTCAGCCAAAAGACACGCGGCTATACACGCGCGCGCAAGTTTCGCTTACAAGGGAACATCGTCAAAAAGTTTTCTCTTACCTCGAGAAACGTCGTTGCGGCTGAAGCTGCTGCTGCTGCTGCTGCCGCCGCTACTATAGCGTCGCCTGGTACGTGCGTATAGTCCTTGTAAATCTTGCCTTGATACCTTAAGTAGAATTAGGAAGTTATCAAGTGGCTGTAACAAGAGTGAGAGAGAGAGAGAGAGAGGGAGAAGCCCGCAGATATAATGTACTGCCGCGCACGGTGCCTTCCTTCCACCCGACGCGCGCCTCTGCGCATTATTAAATCGAGAGAAAATAAAACAATCGCTCTTTCGCTTCGTGGAAAAGATACGCGCGTGGCACCCCCGCCCGCCAAAATGTATTTACGAAGCTCCGGGGGCCACGAGAGAAAGAGATATCGTCGTTCGAGGCGCGCGCCGTGTAGTGTAAGAGCGAAACATTGAGAATTAATAATGGTCGTTACGTGTTGCACCGGTTGCGCGAGATAAGGCGTGTGCGCGCCTCTGCTTTTCGCTGCAGTGCACAGAATTTTTCACGCCTTCGACCGAGTACAGTCGAGCTTTTATCGCTCGCAAGCTCGGGTAAAGGACAAAAGCGCGAAAATGTTCAACTCGTAAAACTCTTACGCGTTGTTATGGTTTTTCTTTCTCTTTTTTTCGACGATGATTTTGTTATTTTCCTTTTATTCTTCATTGCGGGTGTTCGCTGCAATTTCCAAGATCGCAATCGTTGGAAAAATCTTCGATTCAAACCCTCTCTCTTAAATGGAATTTTTTATAAAACATTTTCAGAGAGTTCTTTAATAAATTTCGAGCGGTGAGCAAAAATGAAGAAAACTTTTCTCTTTTCTCCGCGTGAAAAGCGATCAATTTTTTTCGTACCGACGTTCTATAGCGTCGTGCCCTAGCTTGCGTAACCGGTGAAGTTGCGCGCGTGGAATTCTATATCGTGTAATATAAAATTTTCGCGAAATTTGACTCTCTTCCCTTTTTCTTTTTTTTTTTTTAATTAGAAACTGCAGCGAGAAATTTCTTGGCCGCGAAGCGCCTTAAGTGAGACGCGCGTCCGAGAGACACGCGAAGACCTGTTTTGCGACGAAAAGTTCATCCGGTAAATTAATGGCTCCCTTGTTAAAACGACTAGCCGGGCTAGTGCGCGCGTGCGTGTTTGGATCGTGCGGGAAAACTTTCTGGACTTCTTTTGTGCCAGTGTGCGCGCGCGATAATTGAATGAGATTCGGTTGGGATACTACTACGCTGCGAGAAAGAAAAAAAAAAGAAGTGAAGCTAACCGAGCTCGAAAATAGCCGCTTTCGTAATATATACTTTTCTCTCTTTCTCTATCTCGCGGTTGAAGAGAGAGAGAGAGGCTACATGCAACTACTTGAAAAAAGTTGTTGAACAAAACTTGCGCCTACGGCTGCGTATGCTACGCGTTGAAAAATATTTAAGAAAATATGCAGGAGGCAATTTTTCGTCGGGCAGCTTTGCGGTCCTGTAACCCCGAGCAGTAGCAGCGGCAGCAGTAGTAATAATACTACGTTTTTGTCGACTAGGTGATAATTGCAAAAGTTTTATCGGTCCGACTCGACTCGAGGGAGAGCTCGCTCGTTGCCCGCGTATACACACATAAGCCGCTGAGATTTACGCGGGATTTTAAGCCTCGAGTCCATCTCCGGCTCGATAATGCGGCAGCTATAGTTATAGAATATACCAGGGCCTTCAAATCCAACTTGTGCAGAGTATTTGATAATCCGAGAAGTGCGTGCGTGCACGGCTCGCCAGTCTACACGCCGCAAGTTCGTTCATTTTTCGGTGGAAAAATTTCGAAATGCGTTTAAAAGTATGCACCAGACGCGATCCCAACGAGCGAACGAGTGAATATACGGCGCATCACGTACGTACTTTTAGAGATGAAACATAGGGGTATGGGGTAGAGGGATGCAAACGTACGTACTCGCGACTTCAGAAATAGACGTACATTATTATACGATACGTATGTACGCGTAAGTGTTTGTACATGCATGTGTCGGCGCGGGCTATTGTAGTTGGCAAACTATACTTCTAACTTTCTCGACCGTAAACTCTCCTATGTACACATATACGCATGACGCACACGTGAATGGGCATCAGCACACGCATTCGTATAAAGTATATCCCAGCCGGGGCTGCTGCTGCTGCTGCTTTAGCAAAAGTTAGCATTTGCTATTGAAGCAAATATATATTCAAAAAGTTGCCGCGCGGATATATTATTGGTCAGTGCGTGCGGGCGCATATTACGGATCACTCGGCGCTTGTAGTTACACGCCGTGAATTATCCCTATGCTGCACACGTTGGAAAACGCTTACTCGGAGGATATTTAATATAATTGCTTGTTCACATTGTTTGTCTAGCGTCGAGCATTCTATGTAACCATCCTTTTTTCATCCGTTAATGTAGTACTTTCAAAAGTCAGGATTATCTTTTAGTTCGATGTATAAGTGCGACATCGTCGTAATTGATAATGATTTTTAAACAATTGTCGCAAACACTTCCATTCAAAATTTTTTCATTTATTTACTTTTCATCGTGTTTCACGCTTTCTTCGAAAAAACAAATACTCGATTCGCTCACTGCACACGTGGGTTTTGCGCAATGTTTAGTTCGGTCAATTCATGTCGAGTACACTCTTAATTATCAAGCAACGTAAGCGTACGACACTATATTATGCATTGCGTATACGAGCAATTTTATGAAAATCCGTAAAACTTCATATTTTTCGAAATTTTTTTATGACTCTCTTTTTGGCTTGAAAATCGAATACCGAAAAAAAATCCACTGGTGGTACAAAAAAACGATATTTGCATGGCATACTTTTAGTGAATGTTAAATTATGAATGCACAAATTCAGTTATTAAAACGAAAAAGTATCTAAAATTGTTCAAACAATTCTAATGAGTACTTTCAAAATATTTCTTGTCACTAAGAATTTGGGGATTGCACCGAAATTCGAATAACCCTAAATGAAAAAATTACGTTAATATTTTTCAAATGTTTTAGAAATCTGTCAATTTTAATGTTAAATGACTAGCCGTTTGGTACATGCTTATAACATTGTCTATTTGTAGCATGCAAAACTTGTATCAAAAGAGCCTCCTTTAAGCTGTACAATAGTAAAACTAGCAAAGAGTACAGAGAACTGGACTTGTTCTGTTGTTTACGTCACACTATCTCCGCGTTAGCCCGCAGCACGCAGTGTTTTGGTGCGCATGCCATAACGCTACATTACAAGGAGGACTGTGCCGCGGAGCTTGTCCAACATAACCTTCGCATCGATACAGTTTTTCTAAAAAACTGGAGTAGTTAGCTTGATTTGTGTAATCATCGCCGAAAGATTAATTGTTAACGAAAATACCACGTTTGAGCGATGGAATTCAGTGATATACTTAATTGTGTTCTTGCAAGAGTCAAGAAAGAACCTTGCGATTTGTCGCTTATCAAAAATGATTCTGAAATGATTGATGAGAAACCCGATCTAAAGAACTTCCAACTCTTACCGTTTGTGCTAGAAAATTCAGTAAGTATTGATAATTTATATTTTACTAATATAAAGTAGTTTATTTCTTTGAAAATGTTAATGTAGCCATAATTTTTCGATAGACCAATAACCTTCGAAAGTATGAAGAAAATAATGGAAATGAACTAAATGATGAAATAGAAATAGTTGTTGAATGTGAAGACGTCAAGCTCGACATCGATTTATTAGCAGTTGAGAAAATCAAAGAAGATAGTTATAAAACTCATGACATAATTAAAATAGAAGCCAAGCGGGAAGTAAAACAAGAAATTACTGACGACGTTGCAAAACAATCGAATTTGAACATTGAATGTGTACTCGTCGAACATAATAAAACAAGATCAGTGACAAAAAAGTTGGACGACGAACATAACCTCAGAACACGCATCAATACAGTGCATAATGATACAACCCATGTATGTGAAATATGCCAAAAGATATGTTCAGATAATAAGTGTAATCTAAATAGGCATGTCAAATCATCACATCGTTGTATTAGTCATTCATGCGATATATGCGGCAAGCCATTTACAAGGAAGGAGAGTCTCTAAACTCACATCGGTACGGTGCATAAAGGTGTCACTCATTTATGCAGTATATGTGAAAAGACATTTACACAAAAGACTTGTCTCAAAGTCCACATAGATTCGGTGCATAACGGTAACAAACATGGGTGTGACGTGTGTGGAAAGAAGTACGGACGAAAAAATAGTCTCAAGCGCCACATCAATGTCGCACATAATGGTGTCACTCACTCATGTGATGTATGCGGCAAGACATTTTCATTTAAAAGTGATGTCAAGAGGCACATCAATAAGGTGCATAATGGTGTCACTTATACATGTGACAATTGCGGAAAGAAATTCACAACCAAGAGTAATCTCAAAATCCACATAGATTCGGTGCATAACGGTAAGAAACATACGTGTGACGTGTGTGGAAAAAAGTACGGACAAAAAAGTAATCTCGAGTCCCACATCGATGTAGCGCACAATGGTATCAGTGGTATCACTCATACATGTGATATTTGCGGAAAAACGTACTCACAGAAGGGTAGTCTTAGAAACCACATTGATGTGATGCACAATGGTATCACTCATGCATGTGATATTTGCGGAAAGAAATACTCAAGTAAAAGCCATCTCAAAAATCACATTGATGCCGCTCATAATGGCGTCACTCACTCATGTGATGTATGCGGCAAGAAATTTTCATTTAAAAGGGATCTCAAGAGGCACATCGATGAGGTGCACAATGGCATTACTTATGCATGTGATTTATGTGAAAAAATGTATAAAAATCGATCTGGTCTCTTTAAACATGTCAAATCGTTGCATAAAGTACCACCTATGCATGTGAGATTTGTGGAAAGACGTTCGGACAAAAAATAAACCTCAAAGCCCACACTGATGTAGCACATCACTCAAACACTCTTAGATAACTTTTACCAATATTATCAACTCTTTCTACTTTATATTTTTTCAATATGTAAAAACAACAACCATACTTGAAAAAAAAAACAATAAATTTTTTGAGGTAAATGAAAGATATTTTTTATTTTAAAGCTAATTTGGTCGATGTCAATTTTATAATCCTAGTAACTTTTCACGGTACTTCAATTGTGTTAGTATCTGCAAGCTTTGTTTCGTAATTTACTTACGTTAATCACAATTGAATCGTTAAACACTGTGTACGTTTTTTGCTCATAACTTTTCACAAGAAGATTTTTAAATATTTTCCAACTTTCCTGCAAATTCAATGAAAAATTATCTACGTCTATTGTCAAGTGACAAAAACTTGAATCGCGAAAACGTGGACACATTGCTCGTCGCGTGCATGAAGATATTTCTACGAAACGAGCCTGAACTGCGCGTGTCCATGTATTTTGCTCTCAAGACGATTAATACGTTATCAACCCAATATGTATTAATATAGCAATACCCTCGATCGTGACACGCGTGTAGCTCTGTATAATTCAAAACGCAAAAAAATGTTAAATCTGCACTCTTACGATGCATTACATCGATATGCCATGAATAACTCGTATCATTTTTGTACCCAGAGAAGAATGATTTAACTGTCTGTGCGGCGCGCTCGTGCACGAGAAAATGTACATCGAAACGTAAATGCACATATGCGGCATAAGAAATTTTCTCGATGCGACATTATTCTCGCGCCTACAGCTTATGTACGTAAGATGCTCGCACTTGTGTCCCAGCCTCGAGAGTAAAAGTCCTTTCTTGAAATATATATATACGTATGTGTGTGTGTATGTGAATAGCGCGCCGAGAGGTCGTTCGAATGTTTATATACGACCTTTGTATTGGGAAAGTCGGCAACGACGATGCGCGGGGACAGCAATGAAGAGTAATGCTCGAATCGCTGCTGCTGCTGCTGCTGCTAACACTGCAAATCTGAAAGTCTTGCGGTTATAAGCCACACACGTCCTCTCTATTTGTTGCAATTCTGCGTGTAGCAGCAGCATATATATATGCAGGCAGGCAGGCACATAGTCGAGGCGTTTGTTTAGCTCGTGACTCGAACTGCATCTCTATGTGCTGCAAGCATTTATATTTGAATTGGTACACACTGTTGCTGGCGTTGTTGTGCCCGTAAATATATCGATAAATTCCTTTGTTAATTTTACCTCTTTCTTTTTTGCATCGTTCGACGAAGCTTAAGAATTTATATGCCAGCGCAATTTTCGCTTGTTCCGCTCAATGATGTATGCACGATATGAACAATTTATGTAAAACGTCGTTGCGTAAGTTACGCGCACTTTGTTTATAAAAAAAAGTAAAAGCATTAATGTTATAGTAGAAAATAAATTTTTCATAAATTAGCGATATGGAAGCGGCTAATGTTTTTTTTTGTTCATCTCGCATCGCGTTGTAATTGATGGACACTCGTGATTGCCTCGTACAAGCGTGAATACAGCGCGCATCGCTTCCTCATAGTTACGAGAGAATCATCTGCCTGCTTGTCGATGCGTCGGGCATGTTATGTCACGTGAATTTCGTTCGCGGCGCGCGGACGATCGTTGGATTATGAACATCGATTCTGCGCAGCGTCGAGCTGCGCCAAAGCATTTCTCTGTTATTTGCATGCACCTCTGTACCGAACAAAGGCATTACTGAATTACAGGATCGGCACTGTATTTTCGACCGAAGTAGCTGCTGCAGTCCTGCGCACGTTTTCAATGAAAAAGACGTGCGCTGCAAGCCTTACCCAGGGGGGCATGGCTCTTGGAGCATGTCTATGAAGCCGCTGCACCTTATTACGCGACGCATTGTTTAAAAATGCACCTGTTGTACGGTATAATCCTACTTTGCCGGGTTGAACTTGTCAAAGAAGCGAAACGGGCTCGGTGGCTGCTTTTTTTTTTACCTTCTATAACTCGTGATGCAACAAAGCACAGGGAAGCGAGATTTTTACCTTCTAGGGCACGCTTTTATAGATATTAGTTTCTTTATCCAGCTTATAATATATAGCAAAGTTATTTACGCGAACGACAATGACGCGACGTTCATGTTGTGCAGTTTCCGCGTCGTTATATGCATATACTTAAGAACGAGCAAACCACGAAGTGCACCGTACACATCGCGAATAATAAAAAGCAAAACGAATGAATTAATTGTTCAGCTCGCGTATAGTGCAAATAGCTGCGGTAAAGCAGAGCAAACACAGAAAGCGCGGCGCCATATGTGTGTCGTTGTCGTCGTCACTGCATGTTGCTCCGTTCTTCGAGGATGTGCATGTCGATAACTCGAGCAAAACACTCCGTAGCGTCGAGTATGAAAATTAACGAGGCGACTCTCTCCAGTACACGTGAGTCTGTGTGTGTGTGTGTGTGTGTACGTGAATGTTTGTATATAGTCCCAAGAGAATATGTCGTCGTTTAAAGTAGCATATAAGCACTGCCAATGGCGACTATATACAAGTTCGCTCTCTCTATCTTTCTCTCTTAGCAGCAGCAGCAAGCTGTGCGACCGCTGCTGTTTGAGCTGCATTAACTCGACTCGCTCCGAGGTACGTCAAGCATTTTCGACTCGAGCTCATGCCACCGCGCCAAAACTGCTCGCGCGTCCGTATACACACATATACATATAACATATATCTGTATACGTGATATATACGCCGCGTGGTTAAGAGATTCTTGCGCTATAGAGAACAATGCTATGCAGTGGCAGCAGCGAGCACACTTGCCTGCCAGCCTGCTCGAAACCCAGCAGCCGCATAGATGCATCGGTATGGAAAATCTGATTAGCCGATTCGACGGCTGCTGTCGTCGTTGATGCCGCCGCTGCTGCTGCTGCTGTATGCTATACAACTACTCTGCTGCCTCGTGCGCTCATGTATTGTAATATCGTAGGTCTCTCGCTTTTGATTATAGATTGTAATTTTCTCGACGCGACGAAGGTAAACACTTTCCAAATATTTTTATGAAATATTTGTGGTGAAAAATATTTTGCGAATATCGATAAAATCAAAGAAGTTGTACACTCTTTGAGGACTTGCGTGCTTGTGTCTCGCCTCAAATACTACTGCCTTCTTTTTCACTATTTGACTCTCTGCATATCCTCGTATACACCGCTGGTGCACCACCACCGCATACTCGTATACTCTTCACGCGCGCAGCAGTACGTGAGCGCATACAAGAAATATAACTCGTGTGAACGCAGCCGTGTTAGCAGCAGCAGCCGACGCGAAAAAGACGGTTTTTCACCCAACGATGACGACGAGGACGACGATGTCTTCACGAATCCAAAGTCGTTTCACTCTATCTTTCTCTCTCTTTCTTTTTCTCTCTTTCTCTCTCCTTTTGCCTAGAGACACGGAAATAAGTTAAAGGAAACGAGAGAAGATTGGACTTGCCCGACGCGCTCTCGAGATAGTGGCTTTTTTACCTATCTACCTACCTACCTTTACACTCACACACACACACACACACACACACACACACACACATACACAAGCCGCGATCCATCCCAGGCAAAACTAGTATTTTTACCTCGAGAATTTTCAAACTACAGATCGTGAAGCTCTGCCTTGATGCGCGCATCACAGCTCGCGTATATATATATACACAGCTCACAGAGACACATGTATGTATAGCAGCGGTCGCTATGTATATGTGCTGCATTTCTCTTTTCCCTTCTGTCACTACTATGTATACGTCGTCGGCGTTTTATTTTATTTTTTATATTTTTCACTTCCTTTTTTCCTCTCCACCTTGAGCACGTCAAGATTCTATACAATCCTGACGCGGAGCATGAATTTTTTTACACGCGCCACAACGTATACGACATGCCGAAAAGAAATGTTACGCCTGCGATATGCATACCGTTAGACGTCGTATACGTTGGGTATGACTTTTCCCTTATTGCACCTGTACAATTGTCGACTTTACGCCGTATATAATATCCATGCCACGCACAATTTTTCAATGTAGTGTTTAAGGCTTACGGGCATCGATGCGTATAAGAAGCCTCGAGAGAGAAAGAGAAGAACGAAGAGGGTAGAAAATAAATTTTTCCTCCGAGTCGCTGCTGCTGCCGCTGCAGTACATACAACTCGCAGACACGCTATATATACGTGTGCGGGCGCATTGCGCGTGAGATTACGTCTGAGATTTATCGAAGGAAAAGCTGCTACAGCTCCCGGAGAATCGATGAAAATTATGTTGGGCCGCGTCAAATATCTTTATTAACTCTCGCGTCCCAAGCAGCGCCCGCGGTTATTTGTTATCGACATTCAATAACCCTCCCTTTCCCCGCTGTCTCTCTGTCTCCTTCTCCCCCCAAGGTTTGACTGCACACACATTGGTGGCCATAGTACTTTTTCACTCGAGAAAAAGAATGAGGTAGATGCGAAAGTGAGAGAGAGAGACAGAGAAAATCCGAAGGTGCAGAGGGCACCTCGCACACACGCTCGCACTTATATAGAAAAAGGGAAAAAGACAAAGAGATGAAATGAAAATCGCAAAAAAGCGAGCTTGGGAAAAATGATGGCGGCGAGAGAGAGTAAAATGAGAAAGAGAGGCAAGAAAATATCGAAAAAATAATCTCGAGTTCCACTGTGAAGAAGAGGTTCTCTCACTCTCTCTCTCTCTCTTTCTCTCTTTCTACGTACCTGGTCTCGATAGGTGCACGCATGGAGTAAAAAAAAATATATAATAGTCCCGAAGCCCGGCGCTCTGAGCATAAGAGAGAGAGAGAGCGAGAGGAGGGCGAAGGGAGAGAGAAAAAATGGAATATGGATTATACAGGCGCATCGGCGAATAAAATAAGGGGGCGCATAAATAAAAGATCGCACTGCGCGCGCGTATCTTTATACATATAGCTGGTATTGGCGCGCGCGTGTGTGAATATCGAGAGTGTAATATGTATATACCGTCTACCTATATTCCATGTGTGTACATACAATGTTGTGATGTATAGTAATACACAGCACATATACCTACATCGAGCGTAGGCAGAATTTATAAATTGAATTTATAGGTACTTGCTGTTTGCTCTCTCTCTCTTTCTGTGCAAAAAGCTTCTGAGCTTTACAGAAAAACTCACTAGTCGCGCTCTCTCTCTTTCTCTCCATCTCCCGTTTCGTATGATATTGAAAAATATGTATAAGTATTTTTTATTTTCATCGAGCTTACGCACTATGTATACGTATGCGTGCGTGCGTCAAAGGTGAGCGGAGCTTTTTTAATTACTTTTAATAGCTCGCTTTCCATCTGTTTTCCCACCATTGTAAATTATGTATGTATTTAATAATATACCGAGTACACGATGATTGCGTAATTTTTCCATCTTTCATAGATGCACATTTTTTTACTCCTCGTCGACAGAGTAATTGCACGAAAAAAACTCGGTTATTTACCCTTCTCCCCTCTCCCTCTCTTTTCCATTTAATTCCGCAGTCAACTTAAAAAATCAGACTCTCGAGTCCTTCAAATTTTTAATTCGTTATCCGGGGTCTCGATTGCACCGTAGTAGTGCGTGCAAAGAAGCGAAAATATCCCTTCCCTCTACCCCCTCTGTATAGCCACCTGCACAACAGCAACAGCAGCAGCAGCAGCAGCAGCAGCAACAACCCTCCATTCCCCAAATCCCTCGCCTGCTTGTAAAATCACTTTCCGCTCTCTTATCTCTCGTTTTGTTAGAGCGTGAAACTATCAATCTTACGATCGCTGCGCGCCAATTCACCAAATAGTACAGAGACGTCCTCGCATCGTCTCACACACGCAACGAGGGTCACTCGAAATTGACGCGCGCTGTACATACACTATATAGTATGTAGCGGCACCCCCGCACCGAAAAATCTCTGCTCTAGTGTATACGTTGGTGCCGTCAATCGTCGAGGCGATCCCGCATGTCCCGCGTGCGTGTGCAGAGCCGCGAAGCAAATCAGGAGTCGAAATATACTGCGCGCGATATATATACGACTACGACGACGACGACTACGGCAGTAGCAGCAACTCACATACGTGCATGTGTCACGGTCAGATGCACACGTGTCGCTCGACGCGCAATCAGAACACACGCTGCTCCCCCTGCGTGAGCGCCAAACTACATCTATCTACTATTACTATATAGCATTCTGCTTGTAGCAGAAGCAGCAGCAGCAATTCTGGGTGACGAAACGCGCGCAAGGCGCACACGAAATCATTAGGCTCGCGCCGATACGCAGAAATAACGAGTCTATAAGGTGATGTGCGTCCTACATTACGAGTGTCTCTCTGTGTGTAGGTGGATGTGTGCGCGTGTGTGCCGACGACGCAGAGATGCATGCGATGTTTGGATATGTTATACGTACGTGGACGATCCACATCTGTTTATGTAAAATATTTGCTTTGGCAATTTCCATATCGAGGTTCTCGAGTGCGTTGTTTCGCTCGCTTGACTTCGTGCCTACACTATATTATGCTACACACCCTTGACACTCGTAATTTTGTCCCCGTCGATAAGATACATTTTTAATTATTGATTCTATATCTAATGCAGCTCAGATCAAAACTTTACGGAACATTATCAAATATGTAGCATAAAATTTTCAACGTTTTGCTTGCAGCTGGCGATACCGAGGTGCAGGGGATTCGCGTCGTTAAAACTCGCATTGAAAAGGTAAGTAGTTGTGAAGAAAAAAGCTCGAGCTCTCAACTTGGCGCAGCCGATCGCGATCTCGGGCGCAAAAGTTTTGCGTTGTACAAGTCTCCAGCTCTCTCTCGTCTTTCTCGCACTTTTTTTCTCCATATATAGCTCTCTTTCACTCGGCAAAAATATATGAATTGTTAACTTTTGAGCCGAGGCTAACGAATATCCTCATTACTCATCGTCGAGTCAAAGTGCGCGCCGCGCGTTTTCTTGCAGGATGCAACGGGCTATGTTGCAGACACCCTTTTTTAAACTGTAAACCCCCCGCGTGCTCTACTCTCGCACGGATTTAGCGTACATGTGTAGTTTGAGTGCTGCAGAGCGAGCTTGAAACGAAATCTCGTGTGCGCGCAGGAGATTCGAGCTTGGACGCAGCTAATGAGCTCTTCTCCGGGTATATTTTTCAAACCAGCTGAAGCAATGAATTTTTAATGCTCGTGCTCCGAGCAAGTTAAGATCATGTGAGTGACGTGTTAATTCGTCGTCCGAACGATGCAGTGAAACGATCAGTTATAATTGGATTGATTGCGATTATACCTATAAATAAATTTTAATAACTGAAAAGCCAGACCTCTCGAACGCGGCCGATCGTTTACCGATAATTTTTTTGCGAATTGCGAGTGCAGTTCTGCTCAAGAGAGCAAGAGATCGAAATTTGAGAAAGAAATTTGGCCTAATTGTGCCATAGAAATAAATTATTGGTCGTTGGAGTCGTGTGCCGGTGATATCTCTAGATTGTGGGTGAGTTTTTAAATTCATTATAATGTGATAGTCTGTGAGTCGCTTGTATTTAGCTGATATTGTGCGTGCTAAATGTATTAATAATTGAATTGTTTAATTACAGTTTAATTATGAAGCTTGACCTGTCATAAAAAAAGTATGAAATGCCGATTTATTCTCGCGACTATTGGTTCACAGTGTCGTCGCCAAAGAGTGTTGAGCGCAAGGGTGAAAAATGATAGAGCAAAGTCAATTGTCTTGGGATTATAGATCATCGCTAATTTTAAAACCCGCTTAATTCACTTACGTTGTAAAATCGTAATCCTATAATTAGATTGATTCGAAAAATGAACCGTATGATTCTTTTTCTACTAAAAATTTATTGGCTTTTACATATGGAAATAACATTAAGTAGAAAGAGTTGATAATATCGTTAAAATGAAAATTATCAAATTGAACTTCAGAAAAACATACAAAATCTGATATCGTCGTTTTTGATACAATCGAAAATACATTTTATACATTTATCCAGTCATAGTGCTTGAGGTATGTGCCACATCAATATGAGCTTTGAGGTTTATTTTTCGTCCGAACGTCTTTCCACAAATCTCACATGCATGGGTGGTACTATTATGCGACGATTTAACATGTTTATAGAGACCAGATCGATTTTTATACATTTTTTCACATAAATCACACGCATAAGTGATGCCATTATGCACCTCATCGATGTGGAGTTTTAAATTAAATTTTCGTCCGTACTTTTTTCCGCACACATCGCACGTATGTTTGTTACCGTTATGCACCACATCTATATGCATTTTGAGACTACTCTTGGTTGTGAATTTCTTTCCGCAATAGTCACATGTAGAAGTGACACCATTATGTGCGACATCAATGTGATTTTTGAGATGGCTTTTACTTGAGTATTTCTTTCTGCAAATATCACATGAGTGAGTAACACCATTATGTGCGACATCAATGTGCTTTTTGAGATCACTTTTAAATGAAAATGTCTTGCCACATAAATCACATGAGTGAGTGACACCATTATGCAACGCATCGATGTGCCTCTTGAGATCACTTTTAGATGAAAGTGTCTTGCCGCATACATCACATGAGTGAGTGATACCATTGTGTGCTACATCGATGTGGGCCGCGAGATTAATTTTTCGTCCGTACTTCTTTCCACACGCGTCACACGTATGTTTCTTACCGTTATGCACCGAATCTATGTGGATTTTGAGATTACTCTTGCTTGTGAATTTCTTTCTGCAATTGTCACATGTATGAGTGACACCATTATGCAACGCATCGATGTGCCTCTTGAGATCACTTTTAGATGAAAGTGTCTTGCCGCATACATCACATGAGTGAGTGATACCATTGTGCACCAAATCAATGTGGCGTTTGAGACTATTTTTCTGTGTGAATTTCTTAGCGCAAATATCACATTCATGTGTGACCCCATTGTGCAGGTCATCAATATGGGTTTTGAGATACCGTTTTTGAGAAAAAAACTTTCCGCATAAATTACACGAATGCACTATTTTACTGTGAACCGAGTTGATGTGTGTTTTGAGATTACCTTTAGTTGAGATATTCTTACTGCAAATATTACATGTATATGTGGCACCCTTGTGCATCGTATTAGTGTGAGTTTTGAGATTCAACTTTTGTGTAAATAACTTTTCACGTGTATTGCATGCACGTGTGACGTCGATGTGAGTTTTTATTGTATTGGTATAGTTTAACTTTTTTGAATCTCTTCTATTCTTATTTTTTTCACCGAGTTCACAATCGAAATTCAAATTCACTTCTTTTTTCACCTTGTCCACGGTTCCTATTGGAATGATGTTTTGAGCTGCATAATCGTCGCTGTTTTTTATATGTTGCAAATGATTTTGAGAATAATCTTCAATTTTCGTAACTTCAAATAAATTCGTGCTCGGCTTCATGTCTTTACACTCAAATTCAATTTTTATTTCGTCACGTTCGATTTCACGATTTTCATTACATTCTCGAAGCGTCTGCAATTAATAATCCAGTTATATTAAAGTTTCGTAAAAAATATTTAGTATGTGAATCGTATGAAAGTGGCCACTCTTACTGAATATTCTTTGAAGTCTGGAAAATCTTTAACGTCAGGTGCATTGGTACTCATTTTATAATCACTTTCATCCAGCGACTCGTCGCAAGGTTCATCTTTCACTCTGAAATATTTATAAAAAGTTAAACATCATGCTAAATTATATTTATATTTTCATTTGCATTTGAAAATTACCTGCCGCTAAAGTTAAATAAATTACCGGAATCCATCGTTCTCTCTTAAATTTTCATGAGCAACTAATCTTTCTACGATCCAAACTAACTAACGTGTGTGTCAGTTTGTTAATGTTTACAAATCATCTCGCGAGTATTGGGACGAAGTAATGTAAACATAGCAACACTGAGCCATTATTTATTATTGAAAACCCATATATTGATCTCTCTAATGAGCAATAATAATTATTCTACAAATGATATAAAATAACCTTCTAAGAAAAAAAAAGGTTCTATAGCGCACGAGACGTGCCGAAAAAGAGCTAGCATAAATAAATTACGCATATATCACATTGTAAAAGTACGATGTACGCTTGTCGTATATACGGCAGTGTTATAGGACAGTTTTGTAAGCCGATTACAAGACCGGTCGCAAGTTTTCTCGAATCAGCGGCTCGACGATATAGTCGCGGGTGGGCGCCCCGGGAGAGAAAATCGTTCACGCGCGCAAAGATGCTATAATTCACGCGCTTTAGAAGGGAGAATCAGTGCGTTTATATACACACACAAGCGCGGGGTTCTTCACATACATAAACACAAATACACACACTCGCGCGACGCGATATAGAGACATTATTTTTCAGGCTTTACATTGGCGTTATACGTGCCGATATCCGAAGCATCGATTCAGAGCTCTATTTTCTTCGCTATTTTTTATTTCCTTGTAAATATTTCACACGCTCAGCTTGCACAGAACAGCCTGTATACATGTAATGCTGCAGCTATCACGCGCAAGCGGGCGCGATGTTACAAGCGAGCAGTGCATTCCTGATGCATATATGCATGCGGCGCAAATTGGCATGTCATTTAAACGAATCCTCTAATATACACGTTGCAGACTGCAGCTATCCTCTCCCGCAGTTACACCTCTGTTTGAGTCATTCGTTTGTGTAATGGGCGAGTACACTAAGCTTCGCGAGTGCGAGTCTGACGCTTGCTTTATTGGACCTGGATTATGTTGTTATTGTAGTTGTTGCTTTGTTGCGTGCCTGTCTGCGCACGTACGTTCAATGTGCATGTGTGCATGTGCGCGAGATGTATTTTGTATACAGGGCACTCGCGGCGCCACGCACATATTATATACATTTACGCGAGGGATTAATTAAGGTCCTTTTCGACTACCGGCTACGCATATATGTGTTGTATATTACATGTTGCAGGCTCGAGTCGCGCGCACATTTAGAGATGTTTCAGAGATTTGCTCTAATGGCAAAAGGTCGATAAACATATGGGTCAAAATAATACTTTTTTACAAAACCGTGCGCACGTATGTCACCGATCTTGACGCGCTTTTGGTATGTTATAGTACATGGTAAAAAGGTCCCAAAAAAAAATTTTCAGACCCCCTCCCCCCTCCTATCCCCCACTTCCGGTATAAACGTCCATTTTCGATCTATATTTTTTCTGAGGACATGAAGCAAGTAAAAAATCTGAAAAAATTCATAAAAATACTTTTCCACAATCCAAACAACCTTGAATTTTTTCAGATTTTTTGAGTGCTTCAGGCCTTCAGATAAAATCATTGAAAATTTCAAAAATCGAGATACGGCGGTATGAGCCGATGTAGTACTCGGAAATTTTTTCAGTTATTTTTCGCATTAAAAAACATAACCTCAATTTTTTTCAGATTTTTTCAGATTACCTAACGCACCTTTTGAAGCCAAAAACCGATTTTTTTGACGAAAATAATTTTTTTAGGACAGTACGGAGCCTCGAAAAATCTGAAAAAAATTTTTTCTTGTTTTTTTCATCAAAATACGTAATCTCAAATTTTTTCAGATTTTTTAATTGAAGGCGATAGCTTCTAGGGCCGAAAAATGCTATTTTTAACAAAAAATGGTTCCTAGAACCCGATGGTTCCGGTGAAAAAATTTGAAAATATTTTTTTTGAATTCCTTGTCAAATTTTAATAAATTTTGACCGTTTCAAAAGTTCGATTGAAGCTTCCTAGCTCATTTTAGAGCATCAAACGAGTTTTATCATTCCTTAATGTCTTCAGAAACGTCTTCAGATATTTTGCACTAATCTTTGTCCTGCTCTAAAATGAGCTAGGAAGCTTCAATCGAACTTTTGAAACGGTCAAAATTTATTAAAATTTGACAAGGAATTCAAAAAAAATATTTTCAAATTTTTTCACCGGAACCATCGGGTTCTAGGAACCATTTTTTGTTAAAAATAGCATTTTTCGGCCCTAGAAGCTATCGCCTTCAATTAAAAAATCTGAAAAAATTTGAGATTACGTATTTTGATGAAAAAAACAAGAAAAAATTTTTTTCAGATTTTTCGAGGCTCCGTACTGTCCTAAAAAAATTATTTTCGTCAAAAAAATCGGTTTTTGGCTTCAAAAGGTGCGTTAGGTAATCTGAAAAAATCTGAAAAAAATTGAGGTTATGTTTTTTAATGCGAAAAATAACTGAAAAAATTTCCGAGTACTACATCGGCTCATACCGCCGTATCTCGATTTTTGAAATTTTCAATGATTTTATCTGAAGGCCTGAAGCACTCAAAAAATCTGAAAAAATTCAAGGTTGTTTGGATTGTGGAAAAGTATTTTTATGAATTTTTTCAGATTTTTTACTTGCTTCATGTCCTCAGAAAAAATATAGATCGAAAATGGACGTTTATACCGGAAGTGGGGGGTAGGAGGGGGGAGGGGGTCTAAAAATTTTTTTTTGGGACCTTTTTACCATGTACTATAACATACCAAAAGCGCGTCAAGATCGGTGACATACGTGCGCACGGTTTTGTAAAAAAGTATTATTTTGACCCATATATTATTATTTACGCGTAAATTGGGCGCATGACCTCAAGAAATTGATCTTCGATTTTTCCCCAGACTTTGTGCATAAACATCAGCGTTGGCTAAATTATCGTTGTAATTACATAAGGATCGATATGCGTCGTTGTCGCGAACGACTAAAGATACATCTTTGAGTTATTCTGGCGCGAATATAATATTTTTCCTGCACAGTTGCCTCTGCGAATTTTATACATCGCCGTTGTCGTCGTCTGAGTTGGCTGAGCGGATCTTCGTCGCACGGAGAAACTCTGCTAGGGAGTCATTTTTCATTAATTTCCATCGGAATATGATATCGCAAAAAGGATTTCGCCGCTGATGAAGCTGGAAGTTATACAGTCTCTCTACTATCTTTCTTTTGTTATACTCTCTCTCTCTCTCTCTCTCTCTCTCTCTCTCTCTCTCTCTCCCGAGTCACGCGAGAATTTTATCATTAACCAAAGATTTTCTTCTTACTTCGGTCGAGCCGCAGTCGGCATGGACCTCTATACATCAACTTATAGCCACGGTCGCGCGCGTGCTTCTGTATCGCTGTTGCAGCTATATAAGGAAAATATCTCGAAACTTTCGGTCGGCATACTCATAATATCGCGTTTAATATCAGATTTCAAGAGGTTTTTCGTTTATACTTTACGGCCCCCTTTTACCGGGCTTACAAGGAAGTATATCTACGTATATTTATATTTCTATTCGTGTACGGCGCGCATTTTAAATTACTCCGAGGCTTTTGTTAAATTTAGCAGATAATCGTGACAAATCCATTGCCAATTATAAACCAACAAGTTTTCGACATTAATCGCGGCAAAAACATCTCGCTAATTAAAATACATGTTTGCCGCGCTATCGTTGTCCTTGATTTATTTATGTGCAATGGTTATATACCTGGTACGTGAGTGTAAAATGCACAATGACAAACAGATCGTCGTGGGCTAGTTTCATCAGTGCGCGCGCGGATTCACTCCCCCTCCACACTCGCGTGGTCGTAAAATTATTATTACTTTCTAAAAGCCACTTTTGCCGCTGCTGCTACTGCTGTGCAACTTATATTATGCGCGCGGCATTTAGTGATCTCAATCGAAGAAAAACCAACCTTTTGATCTCCTAATGCCGGGGCTTCGACACTGCGCTGTGGACTCACACATGCTTGCACACACAGAGTCCTATGTAGCGTGACGCAATCTCTCCTTTATAGATATATTGGAAAATGCACGTGTGTTCGCGCGCGCCTGGAATTTATACCGCACTCAGCGAGAAATCCACAATTGATGTCTATATATCAAGCGATCGATTTGCTCATCAGAGACTCGTCTGCGCGCCGCGGTATGTTTCCTGGCCGCCGCCGTGCTGCCGCGCGCGCGCTATGCATTTCCAGATTCTCTCGCGCGCGCGCGACGCTGATTGAAAGGCGCCTAGTTTTCCTTCTATCTTCTTTTTATCCTTTTTTTTTCTTTCCTCTTTGCTACTTTACTTTTGCCTCGCAAGAGCCTCGACGATCGGGACCGCGTATAATGGTGCGCGCAGCAGCAGCCGGCGAAAATCTGCCGAAGTCGATCTACGTATTTTATGCTCGATTCTCGTGGGACTTTTGTAAATCTCGCGCTTGTGATGGTGCGTGGCTCTGTAAGGTATTGAGGTAAATTGAAATGATGAATAGGCAAGGGTGACATCTGTCGTCGTTAATCTTTTTTTCTTTCGTTTCTTTTTGGCCCAGAAGCTCTGCACGATTGGGAACAGTCGAAAGATCTATGCAGCAATAAGTACACACACACACACACACACGTGCATACAATGAAGATCGACGAGTAGCAGTGTAATTTATGCAAATGTCGAGAGTTGAAATCGAACGATTTCTTGAGCATATAATATAACCCACACGTTTCGATCCTTTGATTGTGCACGCGTAGCAGCAGCAGGCAGATATTCAATGGCGTATCATTATCTTGAGATTGATTTCAAGTATCTCGTGCAATTATTTCCTAATAAATTGATGAAATTTTTCTCGATTTTTTTTTATAATAATTACAGCGTGATCTAGTGACGTCATTTTTTTTGAACGCAAAAAAAACTAATATTGACAGTTCTGCCTCTCGTTTGCAGTCAATAATTGAGAAACTTGGAAAACTGTTAAACAGTTTTTAATTGCCCACACAAATTGAGCTTTGAAAGTTTTTATGTCGAGAAGTTGCGTTTCTTTTTTCCTCCACCCTCTCGCCTCTGCTTTTCGAGCGCGCAAGCAAATAGTATAAATATACTTTATA